TCGGGTACAGTGGCATTTTTAAACTGCATGACATATAAGGTCGCGGGGGGGGACTAAAGACCACAGTATACAGGAAGCCAACTGACATTGGGGCAGCTTTGAACTACTCGTCTGCTGCTCCGAAATCGGTATTTGCTAGTATTCCCTCATCAATGTTTAGGCGTGTAATGGCCCTGTGCACAGGAGAAGTTAATCGGACAGCGGCCCAAATTGAAACAAAGGACAAACTTCGGGGTAGTGGATATCCAACTAGTTTGGTGAGGCGTCAATTACGAAGGATGCTGATATCGGTGGCGAAACCCAAACGATAATTTCTTGGGACCGCTGTTATTCCATATAAAGCAGACACATCGGAGGTCATCCGAAGGGTTCTAAACAGGGCCAACATGAGAGTAGCTTTCCAGATGGGAAACACTCTGCGCTCTGCACTGGTGCAATTGAAGGATCGCCTCCCGGTAAACAGAACCAGGGACTGTGTCTACAAAATCAACTGTAACGACTGCATTAAGGTCTATATAGGACAGACGAATAGGGAACTTCACACCAGAATCGGAAAGCATAAGAGAAAAATAAACAGGTCACCGAGAAACGCAGATGAATATCCAGCGTTACTAAAAAGACTCGGCAATTGCAGAATATGCACTGGACACGGGACACAAAGTAGACTTAGAAAATGTCGAGGTTTTGAAGCGAGGACTACGGTCCACCTCAGAGGCTGACGGCCGGAACGGTAGAAATCACCAAGCCTCACAGTGTTAACAGGATAGAAGGCGTGGAACTGGCAAGCGTGTGGAGAACGGTCTTGGGTCAACCGAGCTAACACGTGTTGGTGTGCGATTATCACAGGGAAGAGTAGTCATCATATGACAGTGACTTCAACCCTCACTAAATTGTAGCAGCACTCACAACCCCACAAAGGCCAAGGAAAATCTACCGGTGGTACCCGAGGTGAATAATCGATTGAAGCAACCAGAAGTGGAAGAGTAAGGAAGCAAACCCGATCAGAATTAATTTGAAACG